GTCAGAGTCGGGGGTGCTGAGATAAAGTCTGTCTATATAATGACGTCATATTGAATGCTAAATGGTTTTCTCATAATTATATTATATCCTGCCAGAAATACCAGTGTATGAATGTAAATCCCAGTAAAAAAAAAGGATTTTATAAGACTCTTTATTACATATTATTGCTGTTCAACACATATCTTTACATTATCTTTACTTATTATTGCTGTCATCTTTGATCATAAAAGTTATTAATGAGTGGGGAATAATTTGATGAATCTAGGCTAACCAGTTTTCTACCCTCAGACATCAATATCATATTCACCTAAAATATCATAATATCACTGACTTTATTATTTAATGTATAATTTATGTTCCCGTAACAAAAGGAGTTTTAGATTTTATTAGAGTTTATATTTTCATACGTTTATGTAATCCCACCATAAAATCATGTTTTTTTTCCCACTCTGGCTCTGGTGTAAAGCTGCAACTGTTCAGACTTTAACACAAATTCTGATCTGAGAACTGGAAGCAGCCACAAACACAAAGCAGCACAGTACTGATGTTGAGGCGCCATCTGCTGGTTACAGACTGCATTTAGGAGCAGAAGTCACTGCTGCCAAAACACCCCACTGATGGAGGTAAACTGAAGAGGTTTGAACCCATAAATCCCAAATAAACCTGCAGGAAATACTGGATTTATCTTGGAAATGTCAACGTCCTGTAGGTCCTTAAATAGATCACAGGGATACTTGGCAGGTCACTCAGCTACAGAAGCTTTTGGCCAACATTTATTATGTAAATAAAAGAGTAAAAGTGTATTTCTGTATTTGATAAACAAACATATAAGTCTTCCTGTACTCTTGCAGAAAATATCCTGATTTCAATGAGCCTGCCTGTATTTAATAAAGATTAATTACATCATACTGTGCTGTAAAGCTTCCAAACTTTATGCAATGCCATGAGAACAGAGGCTTTTATAGGCAGATGTAACACTATCTCAGGTAGAACCCAAATTAATACTGCAGGAAGTAAGATAGTTAGCAGTACATGCCAGCGTTTGCAGTTTACATTAGAGCAGATACGTTTTAGTGCATTTATTACACTTTTGTTTTTTTATTACTCGTTTTGGAAAGAATACAAAGAATCTCTCTTACGTTATGTGGAGAAAACTTATGGTTGCTAAGCTATGACTGGACCAATGTTTAGGGATGGAAATCGAGAGCCGGTTTGCCTCTGAGCTCATCAGTTCCTTGCAGCCGTAGCAGATGATAATGAAAGGGTTAAACGGTGGAGCTTTTTCACACCTGAGTCAAATGCAAGCCTTTGTTCTCCACCGTTTTCAGACTCAGAGATAATAAACTGAAAATGGGATCGGTAAGGCAATCGATAATCATAAGAAATGATCCCTACCAATGTCACCAACTGATAATGCACTAAAAGAGAGGGCGGCAACCAGAGCCGACCACACTGAGCTTCACAACGGCTCTTCAGAAACCTGTGGGGGACGTCCAGGAGATTATCTCTACTCTATTATACAGTCCACGTTGAGATGAGACATTTGGCTCAATCACTGTGCGACATTCTCTTGTTTTTAAGAATAAGAGTAAAACAAAAAGCTCACGTTTGTCACCGATTATCGACCAAGTAGTCTCAGTAGTTCCTCCTTCGCTGGACATGTCTTCACCTTCTTTGTCTCTACTCCTTTATGCTCTTTTCTTTCACTTCTTTCCTCTCCTGATACAAACTCATGCAGACAACTACCCTGATAGCTCTCCTAAACTCTCCCCTCCATCCCCTCTGTGCTCTTTCAAAATGAAATCTGATCCTCGGGTCTAAGCAGTTCTGTATCCTGTGTGAGCCGTCAATCAGCAAAGCTTTCCCCGACTCCGACTGGGCGAGGCGGACGTCCCTTCCTGAATACCGCCAAGACACAACAACACCGAGGAAGGTGGAGAAAGCTGCAGTGCACGACGATTAAAGGCCGAACTGCTACAATGACAAAGGAAGTGTAAGCGTCTAACTGGGATAAATTTGCACTTCACTAAACGTCCTACTTCCTCGACTGTTCGGGAGAGTTCATTATCATAAAACTGCTCTTCAAACGTTTCATTAATCGAGTTAACTGAGAGATCCAGAGAAAATCAACTGTAACTCACTTAATTCTGAACCGATTTTACTTTTTTGATACTCGTCCCACTCCTACACACCTGCCCCATGAAGTAGATGTCTATTTTAAGAAATTTGGTTTGTTATAAACATGAGAAATTGAACCTTGAACCTTGATATTGAATTAATTACTTGTAAGGATTTAATTCAGTCACTGGATCTAATCAGCTGTTAGCCAAAAGACAGTCAAGAGTCACCTCGGTCGGCGTGTGGAGGTACAAACAGACGAAATATTCAAACTCTCCCGGCAGTGGCTGACAGCTTTCGGGATATTTTTTAGCTTTATCTGTTAGTAAAAGTGCTGCATGTGGAGCATTTAGCAGATAATGAGATATTTCTGGAGACCAAAAACAGAGCTGACAGAGAGAGAATGATCACGTTGCTGTGTGACTGCTGTTTGCTAACACATTAAGATGATATTATGTTATGGTTTAATGTTTGCTTGTGTAGCTCTAATGCCCCCTAGTGGACGGTTTTAACTGTAAAATGATCTTAATAATAAATTTGACTCGGCCAAACTCGAGTTTCCCGTCAGACTGGATGAAAGGCCGCTCCATCAAAAGGCCCCCAGCGCTCAAATAAACAGGAACAAACATGGATTTTGAGGCAGTTGCAATTTCCTGCTGCAGCTAATCACACACACACACACACACACACACACACACACACACACAGAGCGGCATTAAATATTACTCATGAGTCCCGACTGAGAGCGCTCTCTGCTCTCAGGCTGTTGGCCCGCAGTGGGGAGGAGAGAGCCCTGAATTAGACATCGAACCAGTCTGTAAGTAGGCCACAATAACCAGAAACAGCATCACACACACGGACGACTGCTCGCTACTGTTTAATGGAGCACGCCGAGGAGTTCTTTGATGTTGTTCTGCATCTTCCTCTCAACAACAACTGGTGTTTACTTTCTATTTTCATCAGTTTCCAGCATTTAAACCAGCAAAAGGTTTTTGGGGAAAATCTGTTGATATTTAAATGGAATCGGTGCGATCGGTGGATTCTCTCGCCGGGGCGAATCTTTAGCGTAAATTCAACTTTGACACCTGAATTTGCTACGCAGATCGAAGACCAAACAGTCTCGCTTACGTTTGAGGGAAGAGTCCAAAACAGGAGCAGCTCCCGAAGCTTATAGACCTTTTTCACAGCAGCTATACTGACATGAAATAGTAGGTTAAACCATTGACAGTTTATATAATGGACAGAGCTTCGGTTCTGTGAAGTGTCTTAAAACCTGTATTCTGTGTAACGGCCAGCAGGGGGCAGCAACATTGGTTGCAATAACACATCGATCCCATTCAGTCTTATGGAGAAATCAGTCGACTTCTCAGTTGATTTATGAGCTCAGTAAACAGTTTCCTGATGAGTTTATGGTCTCAATAGTTTCAGTCTTCTATACTGAAGACTTGGCTCACTAGAAAGGCTCTGCTCCTTAATTAGTATTATTGATAAGACCTGTATTTAACCTACTATTTTATGTCAAAATAGCTGCTGTGAAAAAGGTCTATTAACATTTAACTTTTAACTTAAACCAATGAAATCTTAACTAAAACTAAACATTTTTAAACAATAAGAATCAAACCGAAACAAGCAAATGGCATCAAATTCATCCATCAAATACTTTGATCTCAGTCGTCAACATCAGGACAAATTTTAATCTAGAAAATAAATAAATGTGGAACGTTACGAACATTTCATTTAACATTTAGTCGTGTTGTTATTACGCACATGAAAATATAAATCTATAACTGGTCTGGAAACATTTAAGGGCTTAAAATAGGCGGTAAAGCGTGACACTGACACGGTATCCTGCACACACTTTGGTGCCATAGTGCAGTAATGTTAGCAATAATTTATATACAAAATCCAGTTAGACTTTCAAAATAAAGCTTGCAGAGAAACATTTCAGGTGATGGTTGCAGTTTGGTTACGTTAAGCACCAAAATCTACTTGGTTAGGTTGAGGAAAAGATGTCTTTGTCGCTGTTTACATCCTTCCTCTAGTGGATCGGTGGATGTTTCACTGGCTGGATTATATAGGCCAGTTAATGTTTTAGGTATCGTGATTCAAGAGAAAATACACAACCTTTGTATAGTTAATTATAATAATATGTTAAAAACATTAACACTATTTAATTTGTTGACTGTACCACAATTTATTTAACTTTTTATGTCCCTCCCATCACAGACCTTCCTCCAGTCTTATGAACGAAAGATTTTTGAGTTTTCTATAATAATTATTTACATTTAGAGGCTTAATGCTTCTATTTAAAAAAATCTAATAAAAGCCTCTTTTGTTCAGAAATGATACTTGAATATAGAGGTATTCATGTAAGTCACTGTAGTGCCCCAATCTGTTGGTTAAGGAACGACTATTAATAATAATAAACGCAGTATAAGACACCATACACTCACCATGGACTTAGCACAGGCTCTCAGTAGGCCTGCATTATAAAACAGCACACTAGGAAAATAAAATAAATGATATAATGTCTCTATAATTATGGGGATCCTATAATTTGATACAAAAATAGGTGTCCATTAAGTGGCCATGATGAGGCAACTATGAACTCTCCAGTGAGTAGCACAATGCACCGGGATACTGAAGGAATATCACACATATTTCCCTGTTTGGGGACTAATATAGGGCTTATAATATCAATTAGGATGCAAGAAAACGCAGAAAGACAGCAGTATTGGCTATAAAGAGAATAAACTGGCCTACACATCCTGTCGCTGTCTGGGGGGGGGGGAGCCTGAAAGCAGCATCCATCCTGAGCACCGACACAGGAGGAAAAAGCAGCGTTAAAGGCGGCCACACGGTGAGGAGACGGTCGTACTTACTGTCCGAGGCCATGGCTGCGGATGTTTCCCTCAGACTGACGGCGGAACCGAGCGTTTGTTCGGTGGAGAAGAGGCAGCAGCGTCCCCGCCGCTCCTCATCCTCCAGACCCGCAAATCTGCAGCCACACAGCGCTGAACGGTGACCCCTTCACGTACTGTAGGAAACGTCCACACTCCACTGGTTTACACTCATGTCGTTATGTACATTTTGGGGGAATTTAAACCTTAATAATTATGATGATAACGATTGTTTTAAGTCATTTGTGCCATAAAATAAAATTTAAAAAAATATTTTGCTCATATTGATCCGATTTAGGAGGGAATAGGTAAATATTAATCCTCACCCACATTTACCCATGGTCTTTGAACGTATCCTGCATCATCAGTACCCAAAGCTAACGGCTAATTTGAGATTGAATTAAAATGTAAGTTAATTAAAACTAAAATTGGACTGTGTGTGGTGTTTTTTTTTTTTTTTTACTGTGAATGCTGCAAAATGTTGTTTGCCTCTATTTAAAGAGAACAATTTTATTTTATTGTTTTAATTTGTAACATCCTGATCAATATAGTGTATGCCTGGTTCATTAGTTTTACACATCAGCAGTTAATAAGTGTGATTATTGATTGACAATTATTTAAAATCCTGTTTATTTTTGAATTTCTGCTTTCCCGCGCTTTTTAACGGTCAGATACGGGAGGCCTGCGGGCTCATGCCACTGTTTGTGTTGTTTTCACTGTATGTTTCTATGTTAATGCTGTGGATGTTGTTTGTAGGGGATTTATTTTGTACTGTTTTTCTACAGAAATGGCGGATAATAATATCAACTGCCCACCATCAGCAGCTAGAAACATGGTTCTGTATTGTTAGCATTGGTGCTGACTGGGGTTAAACATACTAACGGTCAGCATTAATGTGGCCGATTTAAAGTAACTTTAATTATTAATCTATGTTCACCCCGTTAATTAGACCAATATCCTGCAGACTGACCAAATTCAGCGAAAATTAAACTTATCCTATAACGTTATCGATTGTTTACATTTATTTACTATTTATTTGAAGCACTGCTGTTTAATTCAACTGAAGGAAATACTCTCTGGTTCGATTATTATATTTTTAAGTTCGTTGAAGAGACTGCTGGGTGAGCTACATAGACTTTCAATGAGAGAGAGAGAGAGAGAGAATTGAAATTGAAACTCGAAGATATTGAGAATGCCATTAACCAAAATAAATTCTGGGATATGTGGAACAAGTTCAACACAAAGCAACAGCAGACATTACCCATCCAAAACGGTGACATCTGGAGATCTGTACAAAGACATACCAATCAATCAAATCAATTCAGATCAGTGTATTATGAAAGAAAAACTTAGAAGAAACAATTAAACCAAAACCCCGTTGATTTCGAAATTACTTGGGAAGAAATAACCACACAGATAAAATGTCTGAGGCCAAGGAAAGCTTGTGGTCCAGACAGCATTAGAAACTAAATGCAGGGTGCCGTGTTACATTTGTTCAATGTTATATTACAGGCAGGATGTTTTCCCAACATCTGGTGCAAAGGGCTCATTTCCCCCATTCATAAGAGTGGGGACAAATCAGACCCTAATAACTACCGTGGCATCTGTGTCAGCAGCTGTCAAGGTAAACTATTCTGTAGTATTCTTAATACAAGAATAATACATTTCCTTGAGGATCAGTCAATCTTAAGTAAAAGTCAGATTGGCTTCCTCCCAAAACACCGCACCACCGACAGTGTATACACCCTTCACACTTTAATCAACAAACATGTACAACAAACTGAGAATGGAAAAATATTCACCTGCTTTATTGATTTCAAGAAAGCTTTCAACTGTATTTGGCATTAAGGGCTCTATTACAGACTTTTAAACTCTGGTATAGGTGGCAAAATGTATGATCTGGTTAAATCAATGTATATGGAAAACATGTGTGCTGTTAAAATTGGAGACAAACTAACTGATTTCTTCCCCCAGAGAAGAGGCGTTCGGCAGGGTTGCAATCTAAGTCCGACTTTATTTAATGTGTATATAAATGAACTGGCTGTTGAGTTAGATAAATGTGCTGCTCCGGGCCTCTCCCTCCTAGATAGAGAGGTGAAGTCTCTGTTTTATGCTGATGACCTTGTTCTACTGTCTCCTACTGAACAAGGACTACAGCTACAGCTGGACGTAGTAGAAAAGTACTGTCAGAACTGGGCCCTGGCAGTAAACATGAAGAAAACCAATGTCATGATCTTTCAAAAACGCCCCAGGTGTCATGAGAACAAACACCAATTTACCATCAATAATCATGTCATTGAACACAGCATGAGTTATACCTACCTTGGTATAACCATAACAGCATCAGGGAGTTTCAACATGGCAGTGAATGCACTAAAAGAAAAAGCTCGAAGAGCTCTATATGCAATTAAGAGAAGATTTTATAATTTCCATATTCCAATAAAAATCTGCATCAAAATATTTGATAGTGTCATCCAGCCCATTGCGCTGTACGGTAGTGAAGTATGGGGTCCACTCAGTCATCAGAGCTTTACCCGTTGGGACAAACATCCAACAGAATCTCTACATGCAGAATTCTGCAGATACATTTTACACGTACACAGAAACACACCAACAAATGCTATAGAGCAGAATTAGGCAGATACCCACTGATAATTAACATTCAGAAGAGAACACTCAACTTTTTTAACCACCTGAAATCCAGCCCCAGAGACACCCTCCACTCCAAAGCCCTCCAAACCCAAGAGCTGAGCCCAGAAAAGAGTCCCCTATGTCAGTTGGTACTGAGGCTAACTGCCCCCTCTCAGGCACACTCTGACCAGCCTCACAACAACACTGCTCTACAAACAGTAATCAGAGTAAAGCAAATGATTGCACAATGTAAAGAAAGCTATCTGGACCATTGGGAAGAAACAACTAAAAGCCAAAGTAGATTGGAATGTTATCTTGCCCTTAAAAGAGATTATGAATGAGCAGAATATCTCTCTACTGTCAGAGATAGAAAGCAGAGACAGATCCAAACCAAGTACAGGCTCAGTGACCACAAACCGCCAATTCAAACAGGAAGACACAAAACATCATGGCAACCAAAAGAAAACAGAAAATGTGGTCACTGTTCGACAGGTGAGGTTGAGACAGATGCACTTTCTCCTACAATGTACAAAATTAAATGATACGAGAAAAATGTATTTGAACAAGTTTGATACCAGATTTCAAAAAGCTGAACGACCTCTCCAAATTAAAAATACTCCTCGGAGAAGGACATGCCCAGTATGTATTAACATGCCACAACCTGAGGGACAGTGAGTGATCGAGGCACACACACACACACAGACACACAGACACACACACACACACACACACACACACACACACACACACACACACACACACACACACACACACACACACACACACACACACACACTATATATAACTAATATAATGTTCATCATGTATATATCTTTCATATTGTGTATTGTCTGAATATTCGACTTACTGTATTGTATTTTGATGCTTAGCTTAGGCAATATTGTTTTTTTTTAAAAACTTTCATGCCAATAAAGCCCATTTTGAATTTGAATTTAAATTTGAATTGAACCAATAATTCTATATGGCAGTGAAATCCGGGGACCAAAACTAAATAATGAATTTGACAAATGGGACAAAACAATCATAGAATCTCTCCACAGCGGGTTCTGTAAGAGCATCCTGCAGGTGCAGAGAAAAACACCAAATAATCTGTGCAGAGCAGAGCTCGGCCAATACCCCCTCCTACTAAAAATACAGAAAAGATCAATTCAATTTTACAATCACTTAAAATCAGTTAACCCCCAGACATACCATCACAAAGCCCTAACATACCAGGAGCTGAAACCAGAGAAGAGTCCCCTCAGCCAGCTGGTCCTGAGGCTCTCTGCAGTAACATGTCCCCAACAGCCTCAGGACAGCAACACCAACTCAATCAGACCAAACCAAATTATCAACAAGCAAAAAGAAAAATATATTGAATACTGGAAAGAAACGACCAAAACACAAAGTAAATTACAATGTTATCTGACCCTAAAAAGAAAAGAAAGAAAAGGGTCGCCAAAGACAGAACTGGCTACCAGAAGAGGAGAGACTCTGCTCCCAGTGTGACAGAGGACAGGCAGAGACAGAGTGGCACTTTCTAACCTCATGCACTAAATTCAAAACTTTTAGAGAAAAACAATTCGCAAACATTTCCCAAATATACCCCGAATTTGAATTATTATCAGACACACAGAAACTCCCCTATTTACTGGGAGAAATGCCCAAAAGTCAAATAATTACAGCAAAATATGTCTCCTCATGCCACGAACTGAGGACAACCAGTTTACAGTTTTATCCATCTATTTAATTTTTATTTTAATATATTTTAATCTTTAAAACACACACACGCTTTCTATTTTATTTATTTATTTTAATTTTTAATATATTATTTTCATCTTCTAACTTTCTTTCATTCTTTCATTTTACTTATCTATGATAGTAGAATTAAAAACTATAGTTCGACAAAAAGAAGTTGTGTTTGCAGAGTTGCTGAACAGGGTTAGAATACATTCAAAGGGTGTGCCGATGTTAGAGGGCGATATAAATATATTAAAACATTGCCAAACTGGTGAAGTCTGCTCAACTTTACATATTTTTGCTACAAATAAACAGGTAAATGAGCACAATATGCAGCATCTATTTAACACATGTCCTGTGTCATGTTACTGAAGAATATAGATGTCGATGATGGTTTGGTTAACACTGGTAAGTTTCCTCGCATGGTCTTTGTTAAATTTGATGACCCTGAAGTTGGCGCACAGAGGAGGAAACGCTGTGCAAATACTGAAGTGGGTGACATGGGTACAAGGTCTTACTGTGGACAAAGCTGTTGTGTCCCTTAGAATATTTGCACCTGGGCAGGTGTACGTGGCTTTAAGTCGGGTTAGGACTTTGTCAGGTTTGGTTGTTAAAGGATTTTGAGCAGAAAGCTATACATTGTAAGGATAGTATTAAGGATGCAATTGAAAACATGCCTCCCCTTCTTGGTCAAAAATATGACAAGGCACAAACTCAGTACACAAACCTTTAATGTGTTTATCATGAATGTCCAAAATTTAAGTCATCATGTATCCGATTTGGGATTGTGTACACAGCATTTGCAGCTTAACTGTATTGCTGTTACAGAAACGTGGCTGCCTGCAGGTTCCTCTGTTGAAGCTGTAAAGATAGATGGTTATACTTTCCATAATCATCCCAGAAGTTTATCTTACAGTAGCAGCTGTAACAGCATGGTGGCGTTGGCATGTACAGACTATGGACACTTTAGGCTTTGAACAGGATTAGGGGTTTAGGGTTTTGTAGTTGTGTAATATAAAAACAATATAATATTTTCCTCTGTATTTATATGTGTTTTAATGTAATATAAAAACAAATAATATATATTTTTCCTCTGTACAAACATAATATAAAAATGTCCTTTATTTATATAATGTATTTTATGTAATATAAGAACTGATAATATACATTTTTCCTATGAATATATTGTATGTACTGTATATCTGTGTGTGTGTGTGTGTGTGTGTGTGTGTGTGTGTGTGTGTGTGTGTGTAGGTTTCTGTTTCCTGCATTACAATAGCATTTATAAGACTTCTCAAACATTTTTACAAAAAAATATTGCAAACAGAACTAAATAGTTATCCACATTTAAAAATAAAGAAATGTACAATTATGACATTATTTCAAATTCAATTCAATTTTATTTGTATAGCGTCAATTTATAACAGAAGTTTTCTCAGGACACTTTTCAAACTGAACTCCTGATAACATTATTTACAGAGACCCAGAAATCCTATTGATAATGCAGGTTTTGCTTCACCTTCCATGTAGTGTCAAAAAGCAAAAGGCCCCGGTAATGGTACTCCTGGTTTACTGGGATGGGGTTCGATTCCCTGCGGTGCCCTGCTAATTGTTTTGACATCTTCATGAAAGCAAATTGTTTTCTAAGAACTGTCACAAATAACTTGTTTCAAATCAATAGTTCTCTGCTGTTTACATCCACTGTCTCCACAATCAATGTGTTTTTAAAAAATCAACCGTGAAACTTTCCGTTCACTTTGTCTGTGTTCTGTTCTTTGGTTCAGATAGTGTTAAAGAACTACATATAAAGCTAACAGCTATGACTCATTTTGATAACACTGGTTTCTTTACCTGTATTTCAGGCCGCCAAATATGCGGTCGAATGGGCAGAAAAGAATTTTTATATTAATTTATATATCGTCTTGAATTGAGATATTAATTGAAATATACACATTCTTCAAAGTAGTTTTAAAGTAAATTAAACTCACCTCTCACATTATAACCTTCCCCTCCTCCTGGTCAAAGAACATTGTATGTTGTAGTAAAGTATTTCTTACTTTATACATTATTTGTGCTGTTAAATTCTTCTAGATCCACAAACTTCAAAGTATTTGACTTTATATTTGAGGTATTTGAAACAGTGTTAGTGTGTTTTTGAAAACCTTCATTATTAACTAACCTTATGGCCCTTTTCTGCAGTATACACTGGAATTAAGCTCCAACCCGAGGATGTCCGCATCACCAATTACTTAATAAAATGTCTCCCAAGAAAGACGCAGGCAAAAATATCAAGTATTAAAAAATAGGATTTTATATAAAACAGCCAAACTTGATAAAATATTAAAACACCAGAAACAAAAAAGAACAGAAATCCATCTTCTTCCAATCCACTTTCACAGAGAAATTAAGTTTATAAAGAAAATGTTAACAGTCATTTACTCTTATAAACTTCCACCTCTTGTGCACTGCTGAGGTGCCCTTAAGCAAGGCACCTAACTGCTCCTAATGTATATAGTAATGTATAAAGTAATGTATATAGTAATGTATATAGGATGGGTCAAATGCAGAGGACAAATTTTGTGTAAACAATAAAGACTGATATTTGTATAATTGTTCAAATGTGCAGCTACGGTGATGAAAACAGGGAATTTCTTCAGCTCTGATGAGTTTTTGAAGCCGTTTACATTTTACAAAGCGAACAGAGTCACAACAACATACAGAGCAGTTTAAGTTTCAGCCATTAAAATATAAATTAAAGCATTTTAAAATGTAATAAACATTTTAAAACAAACATCAAACTCTCCTGAACAGCAGCTCCGACCAGGATGCGGGTCGACTCCCAACGCCGTCTTCATGACGACTTGAACTTTTCTGGGAGCGGTCTTGTTATTTCTGAATGGGAGAAAAAGAAAACAACATAAAATACGGCGAATATTAGAAAAAAAGCCACTTGAGCTTCAGAAAGTTCCTCCTAATGAATGTTTTTAAGCTGTTTACTCTGTTGGAGAAGTGAATTATCTTGACAACCATCTAACATATTTCCACAAACTCGAGCATCGAGTTGTTAAACGTACCATCAGGATCAAAGCCCAGTGAAGTGAGACGATTCACGTACGTGGTCGTAATGGCTTCTTTCAACAGGTCACCTGACGAGAAGGAAGTTTCAGTGAGTGAAAACTTTAAAGATAAAATAAATAAATCATCTTCAGAAACATATTTTAATGATAAATTAATAAAATGATACATTTAGTTTGAGGTGTCGGGGATTAAAGGGAGGTTGGATTCACCTGAGAGATGTAGGTTCTTGGTGGTTCTGGCTTTGAGTGACGGTTTGTGGATTCTGCTGTAACCGGACGAGTGCGAGGGTCCGGCCTCGTGACTCGTGAAGTCCACCTCCACCTGGCGATGGCGCCGGGACTTGGGCGCCTGACAGACGCATTCATACATATATGTATTGATGATTTGCAAAGAATACATTTAACACAATCCACCTTTTTAAAGAAGAATGAAGGATCCTCAGAATTAAATGTTATATTTGTTATATTTTTAAAGTAATATATAATCTAGAACATGAAGCACAAACCTCTGTTGCCTCTCCGTACGCCTTTGATTTGATGGAGGCGAGGAGCAGCGCTCTCTGGGAGGACTGAGGACACAAAAACCGGCAGTCAGTCAACAGCGCCACCGTCTGGACAAACTTATTATTACAACCTTAGAAAGCTGAAGGACTTCCTGTAATTCACTTCAGTTTGAGTGCTTTAATATCCTGCAGGAGACTCGAGTCGCACTCAGGTAGTGTAACTGGTCTTCAAACGGAGGTCGGGGGACTAAAATGGGTCCTTGAGTGTGTTTTAAAGAGAATATTTTAACTTTTATCATATTGTTTGGTAGTTGGAACAAAAAATGACTCAGAGACGATTCCTTCAGGCAAAATCCCCTCAAATGAAGTTGTAACTCACCTCCTGCTGAGACGATGTTCCCTCACCGCTGTCTTTATCTTCACCAGCGGCATCCTGACAGGAAAGGACACATCATCTCATCACATGGACCAAAGACCCTCAGTAACATTCAATTAACCAAATCAAACTACACTGTAGTTTATCAACTGTAGTCTCACCTTCCTTTGCTGCCACTTGTAGAAATCCACCACAGTGGTGCGGAGCTGAGGGACAAAGTCTTTACGGATCAGGTTGACGGACGAAGCCTCCTGTTCTGCCGTCGAGAACACGGACGTCTTCATTTTGTCGTAGAGCTGATTAATGTTGGACAGTTCCTGCAAGGAGACAGAGAGCACAACTTAACACTTTATAAAGAATTAATCTACTCTTATAGAGCCTTTAAACCTGATTAAACCAGTTTAAACCTGATTAAACCTGATTAAACCTGTTTAAACCTGTTTAAAACTGTTTAAACCTGATTAAACCTGATAAACCTGATTAAAACTGTTTAAAACTGTTTAAACCTGATTAAAACTGTTTAAACCTGATAAACCTGATTAAAACTGATTAAACCTGATTAAAACTGTTTAAACCTGATTAAACCTGTTTAAACCTGATTAAAACTGATTAAACCTGATTAAAACTGATTAAACCTGATTAAAACTGTTTAAACCTGTTTAAACCTTATTAAAACTGATTAAAACTGTTTAAACCTGATTAAAACTGTTTAAAACTGTTTAAAACTGTTTAAACCTGATTAAACCTGATTAAAACTGATTAAACCTGATTAAAACTGTTTAAACCTGATTAAACCTGATTAAACCTGAGTAAAACTGTTTAAACCTGATTAAACCTGTTTAAACCTGTTTAAACCTGATTAAAACTGTTTAAACCTGATTAAACCTGATTAAAACTGTTTAAAACTGTTTAAACCTGATTAAAACTCTTTAAACCTGATTAAACCTGATTAAAACTCTTTAAACCTGATTAAACCTGATTAAAACTCTTTAAACCTGATTAAACCTGTTTAAACCTGATTAAAACTGGTTAAAACTGTTTAAACCTGATTAAACCTGTTTAAACCTGATTAAAACTGATTAAACCTGATTAAAACTGTTTAAACCTGATTAAAACTGGTTAAAACTGTTTAAACCTGATTAAACCTGATTAAAACTGTTTAAACCTGATTAAAACTGGTTAAAACTGATTAAACCTGATTAAAACTGTTTAAACCTGATTAAACCTGATTAAAACTGTTTAAACCTGATTAAACCTGTTTAAACCTGATTAAAACTGGTTAAAACTGTTTAAACCTGATTAAACCTGTTTAAACCTGATTAAAACTGATTAAACCTGATTAAAACTGTTTAAACCTGATTAAACCTGTTTAAAACTGTTTAAACCTGATTAAACCTGATTAAACCTGTTTAAACCTGATTAAAACTGGTTAAAACTGTTTAAACCTGATTAAAACTGTTTAAACCTGATTAAAACTGATTAAACCTGATTAAAACTGATTAAACCTGATTAAACCTGATTAAACCTGATTAAACCTGATTAAACCTGTTTAAACCTGATTAAACCTGATTAAAACTGATTAAACCTGTTTAAACCTGTTTAAACCTGATTAAAACTGTTTAAACCTGTTTAAACCTGTTTAAACCTGATTAAAACTGATTAAACCTGATTAAAACTGATTAAACCTGTTTAAACCTGATTAAACCTGATTTAAACTGTTTAAACCTGATTAAACCTGATTAAAACTGTTTAAACCTGATTAAACCTGTTTAAACCTGTTTAAACCTGATTTAAACTGTTTAAAACTGATTAAAACTCTTTAAACCTGATTAAACCTGATTAAGTTCTGCTGTATAGGTCTGTTTAAACAGTCTCTGCTCACATCCAGCAGCTCGATGTTGACCAGCTCCTGCGGACGACACGCTCGCTCCATGAACTCCTCACACAACCGCGACCTCTCCAGCTTCCTCCTCTTGTTGTAGGAGAGCTGGCGGGAGAGGAAGAGGAGGAAGAGACGAAGGAGAAGCACAAAGATGAGCAAGGGGAAAGTGTGAATTTGCAGATGACATTAGCCGGACCTGTTTGTGGTGGGCAGCTCACCAGAGTGGGCATGGCGGTGAAGCAGAACGCTTTGTGTAACATCAGCTGTCGGAGGATGTAAACGGCGTCGACGTGCTGAGCGCTCGCCGCGTCCTTCTCAAACTTCTGCACGTCCTCCCAGTCCTTCAGCGCCAGACGGATCTGCAGCCGGAAACAACGAGAGGAACCGATCACCAACGTCACTTCGAGTCAGACTTTAAGTAAACGTACGATCGTGTGTTTGTGTGTGGGGTTCCTGACCGGCTCTGGCGGCGAGGCGGTCTGACACTGATACAGGCTGTACAGCAGGTAGAGTCCTCCCACTCTGATCTGGAAGCTGAAGGGGGGCAGGAAGAAGCTGCAGGCTGCGTCCAGGATCAGACGACTGAACACTCGCTTCTCGTGCCCCACAGTGCCGCTGCGAAACCACAACACGTCACACACCGTGTTAGATATTAAAGATAAACAACCTGCTTATTATTTACTGTCTCATAATTATGTTCTCAAATATGAGTTATAACTCACACAAATATAACCTAATATCTGCTACTTACATCATAATAAAGCACAATTAGGAGATAATAATATGATTTTAAAAAACTATTTCAGTGAAATATAATATCTCTTAAACGTGTTACAGCACATCATGTGTGTGTGTGTGTGTGTGTGTGTGTGTGTTCTCTGTATCCACTAAACTATTATTATTATTATTATTATATATTTTTTTTTTTTATATTATTATATATTATATATTATTATTTATTATTATTATATATTTCTGATGCCATTACATGAACATAAACATATAATATGTAAATAATATAACGTGTCCTCCATAAAGAACAACTTGTGTGCTTTTATTTATTCTTTAATGGACACATGAAGGTTAATAACAGACATTAATGGACACATGAAGGTTAATAACAGACATTAATGGACACATGAAGGTTAATAACAGACATTAATGGACACATGAAGGTTAATAACAGACATTAATGGACACATGAGGGTTAATAACAGACATTAATGGACACATGAAGGTTAATAACAGACATTAATGGACACATGAAGGTTAACAACAGACATTAATGGACACATGAAGGTTAACAACAGACATTAATGGACACATGAAGGTTAACAACAGACATTAATGGACACATGAAGGTTAATAACAGACATTAATGGACACATGAAGGTTAATAACAGACATTAATGGACACATGAAGGTTAATAACAGACATTAATGGACACATGAAGGTTAACAACAGACATTAATGGACACATGAAGGTTAACAACAGACATTAATGGACACATGAAGGTTAATAACAGACATTAATGGACACATGAAGGTTAACAACAGACATTAATGGACACATGAAGGTTAACAACAGACATTAATGGACACATGAAGGTTAACAACAGACATTAATGGACACATGAAGGTTAATAACAGACATTAATGGACACATGAAGGTAAACAACAGACATTAATGGACACATGAAGGTTAACAACAGACATTAATGGACACATGAGGGTTAACAACAGACATTAATGGACACATGAGGGTTAACAACAGACATTAATGGACACATGAAGGTTAATAACAGACATTAATGGACACATGAAGGTTAATAACAGACATTAATGGACACATGAAGGTGAACAACAGACATTAATGGACACATGAAGGTTAACAACAGACATTAATGGACACATGAAGGTTAATAACAGACATTAATGGACACATGAAGGTTAATAACAGACATTAATGGACACATGAAGGTAAACAACAGACATTAATGGACACATGAAGGTTAACAACAGACATTAATGGACACATGAAGGTTAATAACAGACATTAATGGACACATGAAGGTTAATAACAGACATTAATGGACACATGAAGGTGAACAACAGACATTAATGGACACATGAAGGTTAATAACAGACATTAATGGACACATGAGGGTTAATAACAGACATTAATGGACACATGAAGGTTAATAACAGACATTAATGGACACATGAAGGTTAACAACAGACATTAATGGACACATGAAGGTGAATAACAGACATTAATGGACACATGAAGGTGAACAACAGACATTAATGGACACATGAAGGTTAACAACAGACATTAATGGACACATGAAGGTTAACAACAGACATTAATGGACACATGAGGGTTAATAACAGACATTAATGGACACATGAGGGTTAATAACAGACATTAATGGACACATGAAGGTTAATAACAGACATTAATGGACACATGAAGGTGAATAACAGACATTAATGGACACATGAGGGTTAACAACAGACATTAATGGACACATGAAGGTTAATAACAGACATTAATGGACACATGAAGGTTAATAACAGACATTAATGGACACATGAAGGTTAATAACAGACATTAATGGACACATGAAGGTTAATAACAGACATTAATGGACACATGAAGGTGAATAACAGACATTAATGGACACATGAAGGTTAATAACAGACATTAATGGACACTAAGGTTAATAACACATAATGGACACATGAAGGTGAATAACAGACATTAATGGACACATGAAGGTTAATAACAGACATTAATGGACACATGAGGGTTAATAACAGACATTAATGGACACATGAAGGTTAATAACAGACATTAATGGACACATGAGGGTTAATAACAGACATTAATGGACACATGAAGGTTAATAACAGACATTAATGGACACATGAAGGTTAATAACAGACATTAATGGACACATGAAGGTTAACAACAGACATTAATGGACACATGAAGGTTAACAACAGACATTAATGGACACATGAAGGTTAATAACAGACATTAATGGACACATGAAGGTTAATAACAGACATTAATGGACACATGAAGGTTAATAACAGACATTAATGGACACATGAAGGTTAACAACAGACATTAATGGACACATGAAGGTTAACAACAGACATTAATGGACACATGAAGGTTAATAACAGACATTAATGGACACATGAAGGTTAACAACAGACATTAATGGACACATGAAGGTTAACAACAGACATTAATGGACACATGAAGGTTAACAACAGACATTAATGGACAAGAGGTAAAAACATTAATGGACACATGAAGGTTAATAACAGACATTAATGGACACATGAAGGTTAAGGAACAACAGACATTAATGGACACATGAAGGTTAACAACAGACATTAATGGACACATGAAGGTTAACAACAGACATTAATGGACACATGAGGGTTAACAACAGACATTAATGGACACATGAAGGTTAATAACAGACATTAATGGACACATGAAGGTTAATAACAGACATTAATGGACACATGAAGGTTAATAACAGACATTAATGGACACATGAAGGTTAACAACAGACATTAATGGACACATGAAGGTTAATAACAGACATTAATGGACACATGAAGGTTAATAACAGACATTAATGGACACATGAAGGTTAATAACAGACATTAATGGACACATGAAGGTAAACAACAGACATTAATGGACACATGAAGGTTAACAACAGACATTAATGGACACATGAAGGTTAATAACAGACATTAATGGACACATGAAGGTTAATAACAGACATTAATGGACACATGAAGGTGAACAACAGACATTAATGGACACATGAAGGTTAATAACAGACATTAATGGACACATGAAGGTTAATAACAGACATTAATGGACACATGAGGGTTAATAACAGACATTAATGGACACATGAAGGTTAATAACAGACATTAATGGACACATGAAGGTTAACAACAGACATTAATGGACACATGAAGGTGAATAACAGACATTAATGGACACATGAAGGGTTAACAACAGACATTAATGGACACATGAAGGTTAATAACAGACATTAATGGACACATGAAGGTTAACAACAGACATTAATGGACACATGAGGGTTAATAACAGACATTAATGGACACATGAGGGTGAATAACAGACATTAATGGACACATGAAGGTTAATAACAGACATTAATGGACACATGAAGGTGAATAACAGACATTAATGGACACATGAGGGTTAACAACAGACATTAATGGACACATGAAGGTTAATAACAGACATTAATGGACACATGAAGGTTAATAACAGACATTAATGGACACATGAAGGTTAATAACAGACATTAATGGACACATGAAGGTGAATAACAGACATTAATGGACACATGAAGGTTAACAACAGACATTAATGGACACATGAAGGTTAATAACAGACATTAATGGACACATGAAGGTTAATAACAGACATTAATGGACACATGAAGGTTAACAACAGACATTAATGGACACATGAAGGTTAATAACAGACATTAATGGACACATGAAGGTTAATAACAGACATTAATGGACACATGAAGGTTAACAACAGACATTAATGGACACATGAAGGTTAACAACAGACATTAATGGACACATGAAGGTTAATAACAGACATTAATGGACACATGAGGGTTAACAACAGACATTAATGGACACATGAGGGTTAACAACAACAGACATTAATGGACACATGAAGGTTAATA